AAAAAAAAAAAAAAAAACATCAACTGGAAAATAATTTCCCTCCATTTTGGTAGGAAAATCATTACCTCCAAAACAAAGCAAATAGGCGCGTGAGGCTGCTGGGAAGAAAAAGTTTTGCCTGAAGAAAAAAGCTGTCAAACAACAAAAATTGAGTGGAAAAGAAAATCATTTTCCATTTTCCATGGAAAATAAGGCATATCAAACACAGCTTTAATGATTTTAAATGCAATTGTGGGACTGAACTAGAATCAGACCTGATTATGTATTAGTTTCACTTTCACACTTTCCTTTTTTTAGGCAGTAAACCTTTCATTAAAATCCAGTTATATACCTCTATGTTCTAAGATCCAAAACTAGTTGATTTTTACTTCGTCAAACTCACATCTTCAGTCTAATTATAGAACGATTCCTGGGATCTGCATTTGCCCGTAGTATTAATTTTGTTATTTCTTAATAGGATTTTTACTTCTCTTACGTGTAGATTATTGGTTTTACTAGTTGTACTAGGATTAGAAGATTGATCTCGTTTTTCGCTTCCTCTATGTGGTGATTTTATTTGCCTTACCCTACTACGATTAGAAGATTAACTCTTTGATAGGTCGAATTCTATTATGGGTGCGTCATTAGTTGTACTAGTTCAATAAAGGTGAGGAGATTTTTCTCTTTTCCCTATCCTATTACGATTAGGAGACTGTCTCTTTTATTTTGCTTTTCTTGATAGGATTTCTTATTCTAATGAGAGTAGGTTATTTGTTTTATTATTTCTGTCAAGATGAGGAGACTGATATTGTTTCTTGATATTCTTTTCTTTTCCTTGTCCTATTAGGATTAAGAGGTTGCCTCTTTTGTATTGCTATTCTTGATAGGTTTACTAGTTCATTCAATGTAAACCAAACCTTCGGAGCTAATCTTTAAGATAAGCTACCTCGAATATTAGCTAAAGCTTAAGTACAATTCAAATCTCTAAATTTGCTTACTTCACTAGAGTTATTTTTGTTTCTTTTGTGTACAAACTTGAGTTACGAATTGTGACTGCTCATCGACTCAAAATGTAGATAAACTCAAGCTTAATTACAACTAAGGAATATTTGAGTGACCAAGTGATAAGTGCATTATATACTTTTATATGGGCCTCTATTCTTATTAGTTTTAGGTAAAAGTCGGATTTGACAAGTTTGGATGAAATTGAATGGGTTAATTTCACAAATGGTCACTGAAGTTACAGCAAAATAACAAAATGGTCACTGAAGTTCCAAACTTGCACAAACGGTCACTCAACTTACACTCACTTTCAAAAATGGTCACTGAGCAAAAAGTTAATTTCACAAATGGTCACTGAAGTTACAGCAAAATAACAAAATGGTCACTGAAGTTCCAAACTTGCACAAACGGTCACTCAACTTACACTCACTTTCAAAAATGATCACTGACCAAAATTAAGGGACTTCTTTGTTCTAATTGGAAACCGAAATTAACAAAACAAGGCCCTTCAAAATTGGAGGGGCTGAAGTGCAATTCTCCTGTCTTCTCCCTCCATTCCCTTCGGTGTTCTCTTCCCTTTCTTGCTGCCTCTCTTCTTCCATCCTGCATCAAAGAGGTATCAAAGCTAAAACTTGGGAATAATTCACAGCACCAGACATAGCCAACCTCCTTCAACTTCCCAGAATTCGAGTGGACACCCATAGTTACAATTTTCCACCACCACAATACATACAACAAAGTTTCACAGCCAACCAACAAACCTCCATCCTCATTTCTTGTAGCCATCGACAACTGACTGCCATACCACCTCCGCAAAACCACCGCCTCACGCACGAATGGCGCAACTAGTTTCACAAAAAAAAAAAAAACTAGACAGTCCACCCTACTGCACAAAGATTTCATCAACCCAACTTCCAGAAAAATAGGTCACTGCTCACCCTACCGTTCTGTCCGTAGCCAGTTTCAACAACCAACATCAACCCCTTCTACAATAGTGACGCCCCCACAATGCCTCCGCTCACACCCAAAGTTGTGGGTCGTCGATCTCCACTCGTCATCGCCTCTCGCGCCGCAGCTTCTAATCGACGACTGTGAAATTAATTCGCCGAAGGGAATGGCGTTTGTGTCTGACGGAGTGGGGCTTCGCCTCTTCTACTCTTTATTGCCATGATCTGCAGCAGCCATCTGTTCAAACCATGGCAAACTAACCATCGCCGGAGGTGGATTTTCCGGTGGAAAAGGGGCTGCGAAATTTGTGTTTTTGGGTTGATTTTTTGCTGCTTCCTTTGATTTGTGGCTGGTGGTTGGTTGGGGATTGTGGAGGGGAATGAGGCGAGACTCATGGTGGTTGGATTCGGTGGTTTTGGCTGCTGGAAAGTCGTGATTTGTGGCAATTTTCGGCTCCGGCTCCAGCTCCATATGGTGCAGGTGGGAGGTGGTTTGGGTGTTTTATCCAAAGGAAATTGCACTTCAGCCCCTTCAATTTTGAAGGGCCTTGTTTTGTTAATTTCGGTTTCCAATTAGAACAAAGAAGTCCCTTAATTTTGCTCAGTGACCATTTTTGAAAGTGAGTGTAAGTTGAGTGACGGTTTGTGCAAGTTTGAAACTTCAGTGACCATTTTGTTATTTTGCTGTAACTTCAGTGACCATTTGTAAATTTAACTCGAAATTGAATTGAAGCCATACAAAATTGAGGAATTGAGGACCAAAATAATCAAGATGAGGACCTGTCATTCAAATAAAGAGGACATTGGATGTACAAGAACTTAATGTGGAGGACCATATTGCACTCACTACAAAAATTGCAGCTTTTACTAGTTTCCTATTTAGACTCAAACTCCACATGGTGGATGATTTAGAGAGTGAATTGTCCAAATAGTCACTTAACTTTACTTCATGTTTCCAAGAGGTCACTGAACTTTCAAAATCACCCAAGTTATCACTGAACTTTGTAAAAGATTTTCACGAGGTCACTGAACTTTAAAAATCACCTTATTCATCACTGAATTTTGTAAAAGGTTTCCCAGGGGTCACTAATTAAGTGAT